ACCAAAGTTTCTTCATTCTTCCACACCCCCCTGCCCTACTATGGATCAGCATCCAGTTATCAGAGAAAACATTTAGCTGTTTTATTTCATTGTGTTATTTCACTTAGCATGATATTCTCTAGTTCTGCAAATGCCATAATTTTATTCTTCTTTAAGGCTGAGTAATATTTCATTGTGTATATGTACCACATTTTCTTAATCAATTCATTGTTGAAAGGCATCTAGGTTGGTTCCATAGTTAAGCTCTTATGAATTGTACTGCTATAAAAATTGATGTGGCTGTGTCACTGTAGTATCCTGATTTTAAGTCCTTTGGGTATAGACCAAGGAATGGGATGGCTGGGTCAAATGGTGGTTCCATTCCAAGTTTTCTGATGAATCTTTATACTGCTTTCCACAGTGGTTGCACCAATTTGCAGTCTCAACAGCAATGTATGAGTGTGCCTTTCTCCCCACATCCTCGACAACACTTATTATTGCTTGTATTCTTGATAATTGCCATTCTGACTGGAGTGAGATGGAATCATAGAATAGTTTTGTGTTTGTCTAATTGCTAGAGATGATGAACATTTTTTCATGTTTGTTGATCGATTGTATTTCTTCTGAGAAGTGTCTGTTCAGTTCCTTGAGGCATTTATTGATTGGGTTATTTATTTTTTTGGTGTTAAGTTTTTGAGTTCTTTATATATCCTGGAAATTAGTGCTCTACCTGAGGTGTGTGTGGTAAAGATTTTCTCCCATTCTCTAGGCTCTCTTCATTTTACTGTTTTCTCTGCTGAGAATCTTTTTAGTTTGAATCCATCCCATTTATTTATGTATTTTTATTCTAACTGGTTATATATGACAGCAGAATGCATTATAGTTCATATTACACATATAGAGCACAATTTTTCATGTCTCTGGTTGTACTCAAAGTATATTCATACCATTCATGTCTTCATACATGTAACTTAGAGTAATGATGTCCATCTTATTCCACCATCTTTTCTACTTCCATGTCGTCTCCCTTCCCCTCCCTCCTGTTTGCCCTATCTAGAGTCGTCTAATCCTCCCATACTACCCCCCCAACCCCATTATGAGTCAGCCTCCTCATATTAGAGAAAACATTCAGCATTTGTTTTTTGGGGGGGGTATTGGCTAACTTCACTTAGCATTATCTTATCCAACTCCATCCATTTACCTGAAAATGCCATGATTTTATTCTCTTTAATGCTGAGTAATATTCCACTGTGTATACCACAGTTTCTTTATCCATTCATCTATTGAAGGACATCTAGGTTGGTTCCACAGTTTAGCTATTGTGCATTGTGCTGCTATAAACGTTGATGTAGCTGTGTCCTGTAATGTGCTGTTTTTAAGTCTTTTCCATCCCATTTATTGATTCTTGATTTTACTTCTTGCACTTTAGGAATCTTGTTAAGGAAGTCATGTCCTAATTTGACATGATAAAGTTTGGAGCCTACTTTTTCTTCTATTACGCACAAGGTCTCTCGATCTAGTGCCTAAGTCTTTGATCCACTTTGAGTTGAGTTTTGCACAGGGTGAGAGATAGGGGTCTATTTTACTATATATGGATTTTTAGTTTTCTAGTGCTATTTGTTGAAGAGGCTACCTTCCACCAATATATATTTATGGTGCCTTTGTCTAGTGTGAGATAACTGTATTTATGTAGGTTTGTCTCCATGTCTTTATTCTGTATCATTGGTCTGCTATGTTATTATTTCTTTGCATATGTTTTCTACCCCTTTAATGTTCTCAGGCCCCTCTTGAACTTCAATTACCTGAGTATTTCTCTTTTAAGACTTTCCCAAAGTTTCTGTAATCTTTCTTCAATTCCCTTCATTCTTTTTTTTCTCCCCCAACTCTATATTTTCAAATAGTCTGTTTTGGAGCTTACTAATTATCTCTTTTGACTGATCCACTGTGCTATTAATACCTTCTTTTATGTTTTGATATGAGATATCTCCCAAAAGCTCCTCTATTGATATGAGGATATTCACAGGTGAAATGACTGGATTATGAAAGGTATACTCTAATTAGTCCACCCTAGTTTGAATGGACTAACTGGGTGGTAACTATAGGTAGGCAGGGCACAGCTGGAGAAGGTGAGTCACTGGGGACATTCCCTAGAATACCCTTTCTCTCTCTGCTCCCTGGTCAACATGAGCAGAGTAGCACTCCTCTGCCATGACCTTCTGCCATGATGTTCTGCCTTACCTTAGGCCCAGAACAATGGAGTCAGCTGACTAGTAACTACTATGAAAGAACTCTCAGAGAATTGAAAACAGCTGTTTTAAGGGAACTCAATGAGCTTGATGAAAACACAGAGAAATTATTCAATATACTATTAGAAAATGTTTCTTTAATACCGTCTGAATGTTCACGGTTGGCCACTTCTTTTAGCTCTGACATTTTGTCTTCAGCAAAGCCTTCTCTATAAAAGAGACTTTCAACAGAATATTTTATTTTATTTATTGTGTCTTCATTTCCATGATTTTTGTTTGGTTGTTTTTCAATGTATTTATCTCCTTATTGAATTTTTCACTGATATCCTGTACTGACTTCCTTAATTCATGCAGTTGTTTTTCTGTGTTCTCTTGGAATTCACTGATCATTTTTATAATCATTATTTTGAATTCTTCATTTGATAATTCATTCACTTCAATATCTTTGGGGTCAGTTGCTGATGAATGATGAACTTTAGGAGGTATCAGGTTACCTTATTTTTCCAAATTTTTTTGTATTTTTGTGTTGGGTTTATGCATCAGTTGGAAAGATTTCTCTTTCAATCTTACATATAGGCCTTTTTAGGGCACAGCTTTCTCTTGCCAATGTGTCCTTGAGTGATATAGATTGAGATCCGCCCCCCCACGGTAGGTGTGGTATCCTCAGTCAGTATTAATTCTGTTTTTTTCTGTAGTAATACACGTACACAAGTAGAAACTGACCGCCCATCCCTAGCCATTCCTACTTGGAGCCTAGTCAGGAGTTTGGGCTTTTGTGTCTTCTTTGTATTAAAATATAGCTGAACTATGAATGTCATTAATTTGCATATGGACCAAGGTGCACAGTCTTTTGGCTGAGTTTAGTTCAGTAGGTGAGTCTCTACCTTGTGAACTTGTAGTGCCCCTGTCATTTACTAGCACCTCACAGAAAAGGTGGAAACAAATAATAGCAATACTCAATGCAAACAATATACAGCATTAAAATAAGTACTAGGTACCTACTGTAACATATACAATACTAATTACCATGAAAACAGGAATGGTAGGGTTAACAAATGCTACCAGCAAAAACAACAAATAACCATGAACTAGATCTGGCATTAACGCAAATAGCAGGTGTCATCTATTCCATCCACAGCACTAATAATTGCAACAAACTGGTGAGGGTAGGAGTTATTAAAAAAAACCAATTATTTCTGAAAGATGGTAGCAATATAGTTCATTAAGAAAAAACAAAATGTGATAGGAAGGTGCTGGAGTGGCCTAAGACTGAGGCTGCCTGAAATAGCTCTCAGCTTCCCTTCTCCCCAGTATAAGGTACGATGGAGTAGGAAGTACTATCATTTGGAGCCTTGTCTCCACAGACCAGATTGGTGCACTTCCAGAGTGGAGTTGCTGCAGAGTTCTATAAGGGGAGTTCCTGGGGCTAGGGCTTAGGGCTTAGGTGTAATTAGGCCTTAGGGACTTTGCTGGGTGGAATCTTCTCTGAAGGGATTAGATCCACACACCCATAAGGCCTGACTCAGAAGCCTCCCAAAGATTATAGAGAAGCAGAGCCAATTTTGCATATCCTGTGCTGCCCACAAACACAGCTTTCCCAGGCTTAGTCCCTTAGTCTCCCCAGTGCATCTATGTGAAATCATGTACCACATCCATTACATGCCTGTAAGGGTGTCTTCCCATAGTCAACCTTCCTAGACACTTTTTTTTTTCAAATTCCGAACACTCTTCAGCTTGTCACATGTATTGTCAGACTCAAAGAAATGTGAGTTAGGTCAACCTTCATTTTCATGACTTTTCTATATCTAATGTTTTAGATAAGTCTCTTGTAAAAGGAATAGAATTGCTTTTTCCTTTTGATTAATCTGACAATTGTCATGTCTTAAATGGAATATCTATTTCATTCATGTAATAAATAATTACTGCTACTTTTGGATTTAAACCAGCTATCCTATCTTGCTATTTTTCCTGCCTATTTTGTTTCTTTATTTGCTTACTTCATTAGATTTATTGAGTATATTTTATCCCTTTATAGTCCCATTTTTGGGAATCCTACACTTTATTTATATTCTATTTCTTCCTGGTTACCCTGATAATTGTAATTTGCATCAAATTATCAAAGTTTAATATTAATCAACACTTATATCTTCTACATGAGAATTTTTAGAATCCCTTATTCTACTTACCCCCATCCTGACTTTTCAGCTGTTGTCACATGTTCTAAACCTTTTATTTTTAAAAGTTTATTACTCAGACATTTGTTATAGTAACAGAAAGATGAATAACACATAACATCATGGTTAATTCTTAGTAAAAAGGAATATTTAAAATACTACGGATATGAACTGTTCTTTTTTCCATTACTCACTGGATAGTAAGACTTTCTCGTGCTTAAGCAAATCCATATCAAAATTGAAGACCATCTGGATAACTAAACTTAAATTAAGGCTTAGGAATGTAGGTTGCTGATGAGTATACAGGCATAATTAAGCATTTACTAAATAGCTCTCATTGTTTAGTCCTCTGATTCTTGTCATCATCCTGGTTGATGTCAACTCCCACAAGAAAAATCAATTCTTGGCTCTACACTTCCTTTAGTTGAAATTTTTCTTTCTAGGAGTCACTGTATTCTCCTACAATATCCCTTATAGCATCCTGTTATTATAGGTACTGAGTAATTTCACCCTGAAATTTTAGCCACATATAAACCTAGTCATATATCTAAATGTCAAGCTCTAAGAGAGGTTTTCTGTCTTTCTTGTGAGAACACCATACCTTTACTTTGCCATTCTGTAAAAAGAGAGTCCAGTGATGGCCATCTTGACTGCTGGAAATAAGGAACTCCTTCACAAACATGCTGGTAAGAAGAGATTTCACTCCTTGTGTGATTATTCCTGTAACTTTCATTGTCTTCTGGAAGTCCACTTGCAGCCACTCTTTTGGATTATTTACCTAAAGAAGGTGATACTGGACTAGTATTCTATTGGTTATCATTTGCTTCCAGAAATCCACAAATTTCTTTTTTAGCCTTATCCAGCACTTACCACTCTACATCTTATAGTTTATCAGTCTCCTTTATTTGACTAAGAAACTTGAGAGCCAAAATTTTTCATACTAATCCCTATGTCGTCAGGGTCATCTACTTAATAAGTGCTCAGTAAATTCTGAATGAATATAAAAGCCATATATAGGGGCTGGGGTTGTGGCTCAACGGTAAAGTGCTCACCTAGCATGTGCGAGGCCCTGGGTTCAATTCTCAGCACCACATATAAATAATAAAATAAAGGTATTGTGTCCAACTACAACTAAAAAATAAATATTTAAAAAATCTACATGTAGACTGACTAGAGTATAAAAGTTTGGCAGCGTAGTATGCAAACTATTTTGTTTAAAATAAATCCCTGGAGGAGCAGAGACAATTCTATTCCTTCCCCTAAAAAAGCAACTCAGTAGGGCTAGGGATATAGCTCAGTTGATAAAGTGCTTGCTTCACATGCACAAGGCCCTGGGTTCAATCCCCAGTACATGCACACACACTCAACTCAGTGACTGAACTAGGTGGCTTGGGAAAATATATGTTCCCAATGAAGTACATATGACTATAAACTTTTCCTTTGATATATTCAGAAACCTGGAAAGAAAGCTAATTGTTGATTTTTATCTGTAAAACTAGATTTTAGCTACTTGTATTTTTAATATTTTTACTTATAGATGGACACAATGTCTTCATTTTATTATTTATCTATTGTTTAATGTGATTCTGAGAATCAAACCTGGTGCTTCACACATACTAGGCAAGCACTCTACCACTGAGCCACAACCCCAGCTCGACTTTTTTTTAAAAGATATTAGCCTAGTACTGGATACAGATTCTTCTTCCAGGAGGTCCAATTAAGGATCATTTCTCCCCAGTGCATTTATGTGAAATCATGTACCACATTCATTACATGCCTGTAGGGGTGTCTGCCCATAGTCAACCTTCCTAGACACTTTTTAGGAACAATATTTGAACAATCAAGCATTTCCACCAGTTTTCCCAACTCCTACCCCTTGCTCTATATCAATCAGTTAAAAGGTAGATATGTTTCCTTTTACCTGAGGTCTCCAAGCATTAGTCCTTCCCTGAAGGTGAAGTCGGGCTTGTGAAGGAGACCAAGTGGCAAACATATTGGTAAAGTAGGATGAGGCAGTAATCTGTGCATCTGATATTAGTTTATTCTCCATTCCCAATGGTATGCTGCAACCTCAAAGAAGTCAAAGGAGAATGTTATCACAAAGACAGGCTGTAGCCTAGGTTCCACTGGACTACCTCTAATATCTAGGGCCACTATCATCATGATCATTTCCCAGGCATTAGGTTTTGCACAAATTCCCTTATTGTTAGCATGTTCCTATTTTCTGGACAGTTCTCTTTAGCTGTTTGGCATTGAGTTTCCTTATTAACAGAATTACAGGAGGTGGTTACCGTGGGGGGAAATCCCATGGTTAGGGTAACAAATTCCTGGGTTTTCTTAGGACAGTGCTGGTTTTATTACTGATAGTTCTGTTTCCTGACAGAGAACCCCTCCTTTTAGTCTCAGGACTGGGAAAGGAAAGGATACGAGATGACTTGGCACTTACTGTTTAAATCACAGCCCATCAACTCCATACGAAGAGTGCTGCGGATGCTATAATGAGTTGGGTGCAAACGGATGTACTGAGCAATAATTGGAGGATTAAAAATATTGTGTTTTATCCCAGATGAATCCACATTACCAAAGAAAACCTATTGGGAGAGATTATCACAAATACATGGAAAGTGAATACAAAGTGAAAAGCAGTTCCTCCCATTGACATCTTTCTTCTAATTTTGCCTTGTACATCTGTTAATACTATCAAATATATTAAAACAAGGCTGGTAGCAGGGCACAGTGGCGCATGCCTGTGATCTCAGTTGCTCAGGAGACTGAAGCAGAAGGATCACAAGTTCAAAGCCAACCTCAGCAACAGTGAGGCACTAAGCAACTCAGTGAGATCCTGTCTCTACATAAAATACAAAATAGGGCTGGGGATGTGGCTCAGGGGTCCAGTGCTCCTGAATTCAATCCCCAGTACCCCCCCAAAAAAATACAAGGCTGGCTAGACAGATGTTAGGATAATATACATGAAGGAGAAAAGCATCAGGAAGAAGAGTGGAACAAGATTAGGTCTTCTCTGGGGACAATGAAGCCATTTTCTACTTTGGGTCTCTGTAAAAGACTCATAAAAGAAGTTGAGAAAGCCATTTATGGTTTTGTACTCCAACACGGTATCAACTGGGAGCAAAAAGACATGCATTATCAGGAGAGTTACATCAGTAAGTTGGTAGAACAGGAGGTCCTTAATTGTCATTCCTCACAAAGGAACAATGATTTGGCAGTTATCTGTGGATAAAAGTACCTTTGTGGGAGTCTTGGGAATTAGGTAAAGGTTAAAGAGCCACATTTAGCCCCAAACCAAATATGGCTCCTTTTATAAGGCAGACCTTTATCTTGGTGGCAAGCTTGCCAACTACAGTCTTGGCTACAAACTCAGAAGCAGGCTAACCCCTGTGGATTGAGCTTCAGCCCCACTTGTGTGTGGTCTTGACACTAGTTCCATTCACTCAGGGACCTGGTAGGGTCATCTTCCACTGGCATTCCCAGTAAACGTGTCTGGGGTTTGGAAGTGGTTTGTCTCAAGGGTTCATGTGTTGGAAGCTTGGTCCCTAGTGTGGTAATACTAAGAAGTGGCAGAGCCTTTTAGAGTGGGAGCCTAGTGGGAAGTCACTGGGGACATTGCTTTTGAAAGGGATTAAGGTAGTTTTCATTTTTTATTCTCTCAAGGCTGAGTTGTTATGGCTAAACAAGCCTGGCCCCTGAATTATTCACTGGTTTCTCATATTGTCACATCTTTACCTCTCATATACCAGTCCCACTACTGTGATGCTATTTGTGATTTTGGTCATCAGAGATAAGCCAGGCCATTGAACCTCCAGAACTATGAGCTAAATAAAGTATTTTATTTATAAAGTTTGTAGCTTCTGGCATTTTGTGATAATAACAGAAAATGGACTATTACAGAGGCCCACCTATTATGGACTTTCAAACAGACCTGTGACTCAGCTCTAGTCATGTACTACTATAGTGTGAAGGTACTTCTGCTTGCCCAGGAAACTGGTGGAAGCTATGTTAGTCCATGCCCCCAGAGAAAGGCCTGTGAAGTGGACCTGAACATGGACCCAGAATCAGTGTTGTGACCCAGCTCCAGTATTGGTGTTACTACAGTCTGGAGGAAATTCTGTCTATACATAGACCTAGTGGGAGTCACATTCATTTGTTTCCCTAAAAACAGGCCTGCTGATTAGGGGATCCTGAAGCAGCACTGTGATCCAGTTTCAGATCTGCTCCACCATGGTCCACAGGCAGTTCTATTTATTTAGGGACTCAGCAGGAGGTATAGTCCTAGTAACAGGCCTACTGTCTGAGGGTCCTACTGTAGGTTCAGAAGAAACCATCCAAATGCACATGTATCACTATAAGGCTATATAGATCATAAAGAATGTGGCAAATATAGTACCATCAAAGGAAACTAATAAAACTTCAGTAATCAGTGCTAACAAAATGAAAATCCATGAATTATTTTTTAATGTTCATTTTTTTAGTTGTAGGTGGACACAATATCTTTATTTCATTTTTGGTTTTTTATGTGGTGCTGAGGATTGAAACTGGTGCCTCATGAGTGCTAGACAAGTGCTCTACCACTGAGTCACAACTCCAGCCCCTCTGAATTTTTTAACAAAGAATTCAAGATAATTGTTCAAAGAAGTTCAGTGAGAGGATGGGGGATGTAGCTCAGTGAGAAAGTGCTTGTTTGTCTTTCTTGCATGATCACAGTTCTGGGATCAATTCCAAGTACCAGCAAAAAAAGAAGAATTAATTTGACAATATAAGAGATTAGAGAACACAGATAATTAAGAAAATTAGGAATATATGAACAAAATGAGAAGTTTAATAAAGAAATAAAAACTATTAAAAAGAACCAAACTGAAATATTGACTATACAGAAAAATTTAAAAGTGGCTTTTGAGAACACATGTAATGTTGCAAAAGATGGAATAAAAACACTTGAATACAGATGACTTAAAATTGTCCATTTAGAGGGACAAAAAAATAAAAAAACAGTGAAGAAAGCATATGGGACTTGTGAGATATTATCAAGCAAAATAATTGACAGATTATAGGAGTCTTAAAAGTTGAGAAAAAGGACAAAAGAAGGTTATTTAAAGAAATAATGGAATAGAGTTCCAAAGAGAGAACCAGCATGAAGAAAAAAAGGGGGATGCTACCGACCTGTGCTATGACAGTCTCCCGGAGTCCCAGCAACAAGATGGTAGCACACCCACCTTCTCTAGGCACAGATCTTACCACAGCGCCAACATGACAAGGTGCTGCATCTCCGCTGGGCCAGGTTTTCCCTCATCCCCAGCCCTGGGATTATCGTTCCTGTGCTGCCATGTTACACCTGGCAGTACCAACCTGGCTGCAGTGGGAAGGAGAATAGAGAGACCTGCGGACAGGTGGGTGCAGAGGCCAGGTTGTGGGGTAAAAGGGTTTGAGGGGAGGACGATGGTAGGCCATTCTTCAGTCCCCACCATCCTTCGTGAGCTCCGGCCTTTAGCGTTCTGGCGCCCGGAAAACCCTCACCCCCGCCTCCGCACGGGGACTTCGGGTTTCCTTTTCTGTGGTTGGGGTGCTGCTCTTTGTTTAGTGAGCACCAGCCTGGATGGCTATGCAAGAGCCCACAGTTGGTAGAACGTGATTTTTGTCCTTCCCAAGAGTTTGGTGGGCGCCCTTACTACTTGATACATATTTACATCAGTTTGTGTACATTTCAGTTCTGATCCCATGGATCAGTATGGACCTTTTCTATGTTGTGGGTGAAATTATGTGACATGTGATGAAGAAAACCATTCCATGAATTACTTTATAACCCAGAGTATATGATGATTCATACTTAAAAAGAGAATGCAGATTTGAAATGTAATTGTTTTCTTTTTTGGTTAGCTTCTGCCTCTCCAAGAGACAACTGTTTTGTAAACATTCTGTGGGAGCTGCATAATTGTTACCATAATTGCAGCCATTTCCTTTCTCCTATTCTCATTTTATGAATATTGTTCTTATTCCCAAGAAATAGAAACTAGAAATAGATAAAGGGAGATGCCAGTTTCCCTGTGCTCCTCTGAGAGATAGGAAAACTGCCTGTCTGTGTTCCCAAGAAACAAACTTGCCTTCCACAATATCAGGAGATGCTTACTTTGTCTGTCAGGACTAATCCCAAGTCTGTCAGGACTAATCCCACACCTAGCCCACGACCATGATTCCAGCCTCAAAAAGATAACATTAAAGGGGAGTTGCTGCTGCTCTCCCTCCTTGCTGCTGCTGTCCCTCTCTGCACACACCAGCCTTCTCAAGCTCCTGACAATGAGACCACTTTCTATCCCATTTCTATTACAATTTCACTAATGACAATACGGAAATTCAACAAATGACATCCTCTGACAATAAAATATACTTAAATTCTCAAAAAAAAAAGGAAAAGGACAAGAATGAAAAATAATGGATGAGAACTTTACAAACTTTCCAAATATAGGGTGGGAAATGCACATCTCAATTAATAAAATCCAGAGGTTTTATTACTAATAGTCTTTATCCTATTATAAATATTTATTTTAATTACATTACAAAAGTCAACATCACAAAATTAAATGATCAAAAAACAAACAAAAATTTGACAGCAAGATAAAACTTACTTATCATATATAAGGGACCTTTCATAAATTACAGTACATTTCTCAGCAGAAATATTGCAGGCCAAGAAAGAGCAGGATGATATATCCAAAGTACTGAAACAAACAAATCCTGCCAAGAATACTTTTCTTGAAAAACTGTCCTTTAACAATGAAGAATAGGTAAAGACATCCAAACTCAATCACTAAAGAGGTTTGCTACTCCCATACCTGCCTTCTACTTGAAATAAAAACACACTAAACAACAACACAATCCCTAATGATATGTATGCAGACAACTTCAATCAAGAAACACTATAAACTAAATTTGACAACACATTAAAATAATTATAATGCATGAACTGGGATATATCCTTACAATGCAAGGGTGATTCAACATATACAACTCAACAACATGATATGCTGCTTTAAAATAATAAAACATTAAAACACCACAATTATCTCAATAGGTACATAAAAAGCATTTGACAAAATTCAACATCTATTATAATGGAAATTAAAGACAACACAGAAAAGTAAAAGACATCCCATATTCATGGATCAGGAGAATTTCTCTTGTTAGGATATCCATACTACCTAATCTATAGATTCATTAAAATCCCTACCGAAATCCCAACAACATTTTATTACAAAAATAGGGGGGAAATCATAAAATTCATATGGAACCACAAACAGCCCTGAAAGTCAAAGAAATATGGAACAAGAAAAGAAAAACTTACAGGTGTCATACTTCCTGATTTCAATATATATTACAAGCCTATAGTAATTGTGACAGTACACTATTGTCATTAAAATAGATGTTATTAATCAATGGAACAGAGAACAAAAAAAAATTTATGCACTTACTGTCAAAAGATTTTTAACAAGGATGCCCAGAACATACAATGAAAAAAGATAGATTCTTCAATAAACAGTTTTGGGAATACAAAATATCCACATATAGAAAAAAATTGGTCCCT